ACCACTAAAGAAACACTTTGGAAGTGTACGTGGAACAAGGGAAAGGGGTTGAGGGGATGGAATAGCGAAGCACGGGGTGGGTAATTGGTAGGGAAGGGGTGGAATAGGGGTTGATAAAGACGGGTGGGAGAGGGGGGGAAAGGAGAACGAATAGAGGAAGGAAGGCATTTCTGGATAGGTTTAGGACACCTGTCACCAATCCATCTAAAAACCTGTCACCAATCCATCCACACACTTGTCACCAATCCACCCAAAAACCTGTCACCAATCCATCCACACACTTGTCACCAATCCACCCACACACCTGTCACCAATCCACCCACACACACCTGTCACCAATCCACCCACACACACCTCTCACCAATCCACCCACACACACCTGTCACTAATCCACCCACACACACCTGTCACCAATCCACCCAGCCTTGGAAAGCTACAGAGGCTGCAGAGGCTCATTACCACACGAACAACTATATATAACCCAAAGTCACACGACAACACAGCCAAACAAGTATAGTGTTTCTGAGGCTTTCAACGCATTATAGAACGGATCAATTAACCCAAACTCATCACAAATCATGTGATGAGTTAGCCAATGAGCTTACCAGCGCATGTTAGCCAAAACTGTGCCGGTAAAGAGGGGGAGAAATAGATGGTACATCTTGGCCTGCCTTTGAGCAAGGTGAGGGCAGTAGTGTACTCACCTAGTTGTGTTTTGCGGGGGTTGAGCTCTGGCTCTTTGGTCCCGCCTGGGTGTGTTCTGTGAAGGAGCAACATAAACTATTGCAGATATCTATTCGCATACTTTCCGTCACAATCGACGTGAGAATGGTCCAGGACGGACCGAAACGTCGTCGTCCCATCACCTTCTAGTGTGTGGTCTGGTCAACATACTTTAGCCACGTTATTGTGACTCATCGCCTGCATTGATTGATTCATAAAGATTAAGCCACCCAAAAGGTGGCACGGGCATGAATAGCCCGTAAGTGGTGGCCCCTTTTGAGCCATTACCAATATCAAGAGCTGATACTGGAGATCTGTGGAGGCGCGACTGCACCCTGCGTGACGGGAGATGTCTCCCGGACCAAATTGTGACCAAATGGTGATCGCCTGCATAAACTATTGTAGACTTGAGGCGAAGCTGGACGGTAGAGCGATGGTCTAGCTTCATGCAGGTCGGCGTTCAATCCCCGACCGTCCAAAAGTGGTTGGGCACCATTCCTTCTTTCCCCCCCGTCCCATCCCAAATCCTTATCCTGACCCCCTTCCCAGTGCTATATAGTTGTAATGGCTTGGCGCTTTCCCCTGATAATTCCCTCCCTCCCTCCCTCCATTCTATTATGCCGGAAGATCCGCGTGTCTATGGGGGCATCCAACACTTCCACATGTTGATTTGATTGAATGATGAAGATTAAGCCACCCAAGAGGTGGCACGGGCATGAATAGCCCCGTAATTCTTCTAAATGTTACCTCTGCTTGGCTTATATAGTCTTAATGGCTTGGCGCTTTCTCCTGATAGTTCCCTTCCCTTCTGCAAGGCTTAAGCTCGGCTATAAGTACCTCTGGGAGTTTGCACCACCTGCTGACGTAGACTTAACTAAATGTAAACTCTGTCAGCAGAACTATTCGCATACTTTGCGTCATTATGTAATCGAATGTAAACAAAGAATCGTGGAATTCAGAGATAATACTTGTGTAAAGGAGGAAATGTATATGTTTATCTCTCAGAATGTTTGGTAATATGTTTATTGTTTGTGATGTGTGTATATGTATGCATTAACACGATGTACTGAACGGGGTGAGAATAACTTGAGCTACCCACCGGGAAGCCGGTCGGCCGAGCGGACAGCACACTGGACTTGTGATCCTGTGGTCCCGGGTTCGATCCCGGGCGCTGGCGAGAAACAATGGGCAGAGTTTCTTTCACCCTATGCCCCTGTTACCTAGCAGTAAAATAGGTACCTGGGTGTTAGTCAGCTGTCACGGGCTGCTTCCTGGGGGTGGAGGCCTGGTCGAGGACCGGGCCGCGGGGACACTAAAAAGCCCCGAAATCATCTCAAGATACTCAATATCGATACTCAAGATACCTCATCCCTTTGTGTGTATTTTACCTCAATAAACTTATTTCAATTTCAATTTCAGAGATAACACCATCAATGGAGTCTAGGAAATGTGTAAGTACTTCATTCATAATGATGTAATGCCAGGAATCTTGGCGAAGTATCCAAAATTTGCTGACTGTAGGTGCAGCCTGCACATGACTGTAAAGCTGCCGCCCAGTTGGGTGGGTGTGGAGCACATGACTGTAAAGCTGCCGCCCAGTTGGGTGGGTGTGGAGCACATGACTGTAAAGCTGCCGCCCAGTTGTCTGGGTGTGGAGCACATGACTGTAAAGCTGCCGCCCAGTTGGGTGGGTGTGGAGCACATGACTGTAAAGCTGCCGCCCTGTTGTCTGGGTGTGGAACAGAATTACTAACTGTGTAGTCTCAATACAACTGTCTCGAACAGTTGTATTGAGACTGTTATGGTCCTCTGCGTGAAGAACTTGTGTTATAAAATCACTACTGATATACGCACAGTACAAGACTGTTACTCGCTTAGGTACATGAGCAGTACACAGTGTCCTGAGCAACAGGCCGTCGGGCTGTTGATCTGAGACAATCGACTTGAGAATGGTCCAGGACGGACCGAAACGTCGTCGTCCCTTCACCTTCTAGTGTGTGGTCTGGTCAACATGATTTAACCACGTTATTGTGACTCATCGCCTGCACTCGATCTCACTATTAACAGGCACTCGACAGTCCCCAATGGAACTAAGGGCAGCACAGAAAGCGGGGCCGTTGACCGAAGAGCTTTCACACTCGATCTCACGATCTCAATCACCAGTACTCGATCTCCCATCTGAATATACCGATAATAAATGCCTTGTGTCTCATCAAAGCAACATGTCCTACACATGAGCACTCACAAACAAAAACAGCACCACCAA